TTTTTTTGGATAACATTCATTCTTATTCTACCAAGCTTTTCACGTGTCTGGATTTGCATACTGTTTACCCACACCTTTTCCACCATTTTGCCCTTTTAAGTTGAACATCAACTGATGTTGTATATTATTTTGTTATTCTGCAGACTCTCGCGCAACTGTGGTTTCTGCACGGGGCTTCATTTGTGCTGAGGGATCTTCGCCACCGTCATCTGGACCAGACAGCAGATCCGGTTCACCTCCATCCATCCAACGGATATGGGCCCAGATCAAGTCCACCATGGCAGGAGATATTCGACCTTGACTAAAAGTGGATATCACTGGTCAAACCGCACCATGCCAATTTCTAAGAGGTAGAATAGATCTTAATTCTTAGTCATTTGTGCAGATGATCAGACTACCGAAAATATTTCACTCAATTTCTTTGTACTAAAAATCACTAGACAAATTCAGAGGCCTTTATTCAATCAACTGCTTCAAATTCGAACTTCTTTCTGGTTCCGTCGCCTTGATGGCTCATCAACTTTCATGAAGTCGCATTAGTTTCTTCGACGGTATATTCTGTACAGTAATTTAATAGCTGTAAAGTTCGCTACTACATATATGTCATCTCTCTGTAGACCTCGCTGTTCCGCTCCATTTAGGTGCAAGTTCTCTTATATCAACATCGTAAGTGTTGAAATGACCTCTTGAGTCTTCGCCTGATTTTATGCTATCTTGATTGCCTATGAATCATGGCATGGTCCTTAATTCTCAAATTTGACTCCTCTGATAGATGAACTGTTGACTATAAATATTGCCGTGGAGTGTTGTTTATGGTTCAATTCTTTCTGTCGCTACTCAGTCGTTCTTGCCTTTTATCTTAATCGAGGGTAGTGTGTCGACTGCACAGTTTGCCTATCAAGAATTGCTTCAGGTATACTTTCTCTTTTATCATGTATTTATAGTGAATGATTTTGTATTAGAAGTCTTCCGCATTCATCATTGAGTCTACTTCAACATTGTCACTTTAATTTTGCCTTAATTTATATTGGGAGATAAATTTCTTTGTATTTACATAAAAACTGTTTTTTACATTCGAATGCTAATGTATCTAATCTTCTTATTTTCCATGAGCGCATCGGCAAGCCGTCAGATAACTTACTTAACTGAAGCCTCAGTCGGGCATGCTGTGGAGAGAGAGGGCGTATCACAATCAGGGATTGTTAGCCTCTATAAAATTGCTAAGTCTTTGAAGAATAACAACTGTTATGATGGGATTCCAAAATTAAATTTTCGTTATAGTAGACATAATCTCCTATTGCAGTAAGTAATCAACATTCAGCAAAGAAAACGCAGTAGGAATGATTTGGCTGTGGAAAAATTAGTCATTTAACTGTCGATTTACAAAGCCTAAAACATTTTCAAATGTAGACAAGGTGGCCTAATGTGCCTACTTTTGCTCACTGATAACTTTTGTTTCCAAATTTACTGGGCTTCAACTATTCATCTTAAAACTAAGCTAGCTCTAGACAAGTTAGACATCCATTTTCATAAGAGCTAAGTTTGCTGGTTGCTGTAGAATTAAGATGTGGATTCGTAAGTGGCGTTAAGCACACTAATCTTCTCAGTTTGGGCTCACGTACCACAAACCTCATCTACAAATTCCATAAAACAACCTTGGACTAATACGGACTGGCTGTACCCACTG